TGTATTTACCTGCATATCAAAGTTTCTGTTTAGCGAATGAAAGAACCAATTATTGTCATGCCTTTCTGAATTGAATGAAACATGATTTTTGAATGATACAAAAGTTAGTAGTTAATGAATCATGATTTTTGAATCATGTACATACAATATAGAGGATAACAAATTTAATTTATAATATTTTGTCTAAAATTATAATTGTTAGAATTGTATAAATAAATTTAAAAAAATTAAAATTAATTTATAATATTTATATGATATTTTGTTAAAAAGGGTATTTTAGTCTATTTATATCATATCTTGATGATATTTGGTGCACCTCAAACGCATGATAGCATAGCATAATCCTATCAGATTGCTAATCCAGTGCACATCAAACACAAGATATGATATGTGCTTATCCTGTCCATATCATATCCTATCCTTATCCTACTCTCTTATCCTATCCGTTCTTATCCTATCTTGTCCACCAAACGGGCCCTAAATTGATTGTAATAATCAAAATATATTTTAAATCAATTAAACAATTGGGGTATAACAAATATCCAACATTTTTGAGTAACTTGGAGGGACTGGGGGAAAGTACCTGCAAGGCACTCCGATGCTGAAGTCAGTAAGTATTCAAGGGTTCAAGTATTGATGGAAAGATGATCATACCCGAGCTTAATGCCTCTGTATTTATAATAGATGAGCGTCTTGCTTATGCTGCCTTGGTATGGTAGTGTTCATTCCTATTGGTTGAGAGTGGTAATCTTCATATGTTACTTTTTGGGCGAGATGCCTATGGTCAGGCTAAGCCTTTCGTTGATGTGGCGACATGCAAGTGTTTATATGAGGGAGGCGTTACTTTGAGCAGTTGATGTTGTGTAGCTGCAATTATCTGAGCAACTGATCTTGTGTATTAGATGGTTGCAGGATTGTCAAGATATGCCATGTTTTTTTTTTCTCATTAAGCAATAATCTTTGAGCCTTTTGGACCTTTCACTAGTTGAGCTTATATTATCGCGTGAAATAGGTCCAGATTAATACTCATATTGTGTACATATATAAACTTGTAAAATGTATTATTATTTTTCAATTAAGATGTAAAACAATTTTTTTTTTACTTTTAGATAAGATAGAATTTCATATTTTCTTATTATTTTATAATAAAAAAATTTAGTAGATGAAAATAAAAAAAAATTCATTTAAAATACAGAATTCATTTAACAATTATTTATGTGAACTAACAATTAAAAAATGTAATATAAAACTTAAGGGCATGATATACTTACCACCAAAAATTTTTACCACATTTACAACCAACTTAATCACCATTGATTTTCGTCAATCTAACGGTTATAATTTATTGAGAATTAATAATTAATTAATAAATACGACCCAATAATTTTCAATATTTTATAACCGTTAGATTAACGAAAATTAACGGTGATTACGTTAGATGTAAAGGTTGTAAACTTTTTTTGTGGTAAATATATCATTTCCTTAAAACTTAATATATTAGGTAAATTATTCTTTTGATTTTCTACAAAAGGAACAAGTTGTTAAACATAATTATGATACATTTTTATTTTATATATTTAATTTATATATTTTAAATAAAAAAATTATACTTACAATCTATTTTCGTTTACAACTTCTTACAATCATATTTCAACCGTTGATTTTCTTCAATTAAAGGTTATTATTTTCGTAAATCAAACTAATTAATTAATTATTAATTTATAATAAATAATAATCTTTAATTGACAAAAATCTATAATTAAAATATAATATAAAAATTTATAAAAAAATAAGTTATAAAACATAACCTTTCTATTTGTAAATACAAGGCGTATTATATACTCGTAAATTTCTCTCCAATCGTATAAATCATAAACAAATACTGACTAGCAAAGATGTAAGCCGGTGAAACATTTCTGACGAGTGGCGCACGTATTGAGAAAAACAAGGCACACTCCCATCCCCATCACAATGTGTGTTACACGCGCGCACGTACGAGTGGCGACTGGCCAATATGCGTGGGGCAATAACACTGTGAAGCACACGTGTCAGTCACGAAGAGAGGGCGAAAATGACATCTGAGAAAACGATAGGAAGAAGTGTCGTGGTCAAATTGGGCGCGCTCACCAATTTTTACCCTTTGATTTTCCAATTTTACCCTTTCATTGTTCTCCAACGACAACAGGTTACCAATAATAAACAAATAGGAAAATGAAAATGCCAGCCAATTTCAATCTTGCGCTGATAGTGGCAAATGCAACCGGCCAAGTGGCCAAGTATAAGAATGTGACTTTCCTATTGTTCATTAAAATACACCAAGATTTGAATACTCGTTTTATTATTATAGATAATTAAATACTATAACTTTCAAATTTAAAAAAAAAATGGCTGAGTAAGTGGTCAAGGAAAATAAGGGTGAATTTAATATATACTTTTCGCGCATGAAGACTCTAAAATAAAACTGCATTGGGCTTTGTTAGCGACACTCATAAACAAATATTTACTTACATTATTGTTATTGCCATTTGCCGACCAGCTACCAACTAACTAGTACATGAATTTAATGTATAGTTTGTTAGCATTTGAAACCGGAAATACAAGATTTATATTATAATCAAAATAATAAATTGAGAAAGATTATATTTACTACTTATCATTATTTTAAATTTATTATTCTTGTTACCGATTTGATTACTGTTGGATCACTTTAAAATTAATGATATTAATTTTTTTTCAACCGTTGATTTCAAATTTATTTAACTATAACCAAATAGGTACAAAGAGTGGTAAATAAAAAATAATAATAAGTATAATTACTCCCTAACAAATCTTACATAAATTTTAACTATTGATTAATGATTCATATATTTAATATAGCATACAGTTATCTTATCATCATTTTAGACTTATCACTCTTATTATTTGATTGATTACCATAAAAAAATTAATTATCGTTGATTTCAAATTAATTTAACTGGTAACTAAAAAGATAATAAGAGTAATAAACTTAAAATTATAGTAAGTATCACTTTGTCATTTAATATATTGATATAAAATAATTATGTCCCATTCAAATTTTATACTTAAAAAAAAATCTATTCTCCGTGTTACAGTAAAGATTTTTTTTAGTAGGTATCTAATGTAAAGTTTGTTTAATTAAAATAATAGAATAAGTTATTCTATTTTTTTTTTTTCCTATTTTTATCTACCACTCTTAAATATTATTAGATTATAATTTTAATAAAAAAGATAAATGATAAAAATAATTGAAATTCTGATATAATAATATTAAAAAATAATATGTAAATATAGGTGAAAAAAATAGGTAGAAGAACCTATTCCTAAAATTATAATATATGATCAACTTTTTTAAATTTTTAAAGAAATCATTATGCTTTTTCTTCATCGATTATACAGCTTTTAAAACAGCGACATGTGCATTGCGCAAGAAAAAAAGAAATGAAAAGACATTATTAGCCAAAACAAGCATGTTTTTTTGTTTACATTTCTAGTCATCATTCATCAACAAAAATGAATCTCCATCTCATTATGTAACACAAGGCAAACGTTCCTGTCTTTGTTTGCATTGTTATTTTTTTATTTTTTTTATTTGGTAAATGGATTGTTATTTTATTTTGGAGGAACATTATTCTCACGTTACAAAATATTTTTCTTTCTTTCATGCACTTATAAATTAAGGAAGAGTAGGATTTATTCTATATTTTTTCTTTTCTCTCTATTCTCTCGTGGAATGAAAGAAAAATTCTTTCATATAATATGAGAATAATATTTTTTATTTATCTTTATATTACTAATTATTTCATGCATTATATAAAGGGATTTTTGTTTGTCTTTTAACATGACATTGTAAAGTTTCTTATACATACAACATTTCATGGGACGCATATTTTTTGAAACAAAAAAAAACTAAGACACAGACAACAAGTGTGTGTATGACAACCATTCTATTCCCTAGCACTGTTTTTGAAAAGAATCAATTCTTTTCTATTTCTGTGCCTTTGAGCAGTTTATGAGAAAAAAAAATGTGTTTGATAACATGTTCTATTTTTATTCCGAGAATGAGAATTGCGTTTGATAACACAACAAATAATATAATAAAAAATAATTTCTATTAAATATAAAAAAATTCGGATCATCACTTTCCTTTTCATATGGTGTGATTGTGGTGGTGGTGGCGGCGGCGGCATGGTAGTGGTGGTGGCAGTGACATGGAGAAGATAGTGGAGGTGGTTGAGACGACAGTGGCTGAGACGATGACGATAGTAATGGTGGTGGTGGAGGTGACGATAATGGTGGTGGATATGGTGGTTGGTGGCGGCAACAATGGTAGCAGTGGCATGGTGGTGGTGATGGTGGTGGTAGTGACTGCGGCGGTGGCGATAGTGGTAGGTGACAGTGGTGGTAGTGATCAGTGGAGGTGGTGGTAATGATGGTAGATGTGAAGAGTGATTAAAAGAGATAAGTGTTTCTCATTTTGTGCCCGGGAACAAAAGAACAGAATTTTTTTTATTCTTTTTCTGTTCTCCGACACAAAAATTAAACCGGTTCATTCCTGGAACAAAAAAAAATGAACCAATTTTACCAAACGAGTTTCCCCTATCCATTTATGTTCTCAGGAACAGAAATTAAAAAAAAAAATTGATTCCGGGAAGGTTGTCATGCGTACCCCAAATCTCAGTAACATGATACAATTACTTTTCTTACAAGATAACTCTTACAAAACACTTATATAAATTTAGAAAGAAAGAAAAAACTCGTTATAAAAACAAACCGACTTCAATAAACGTAGTGCGTGGTTATTGAAGAGTTAACTTTTATTTTTTGGAAACGAAAAGGGTATCTTTATAATTATGTTCAATATAACAATGATACGAACACGTCAAAAGAGAAGGCTGTGTGTGGTGGTGGTGGGGCAAAGAAAAAAGGTGGACAAATTGGTAATTGCAGCACCCATGAAAATGCTCGATGCGCGTCTCTATGAGGTTCATATTCCATAGCCATTAGCCCCATTTTCAACCTCACATGCCATCTCTCCTTTTACAAATCAACCATTCCTCTCTTTCTATCTCTTCTCAATCACCTTCTTTGTTCTCCAACAAACAAACAACACCTTCGTTTTTTCTCTTTCTATTCTCTCTCTCTCTCTCTCTCTCTCTGTGAAATTATGGCTCAGAAGACGGAAAAAAAAGAGACCGAGTTCAAGGTTCCTGAAACCATCACCCCCTGCGCCACAAACGCAATTCCAGCACCTTCAAGATTCTCCGACGACAAGGCTGCCACGTCATCACGTTCCCCTAAGAGACCTTACCCTTCCGATGAACAAGACGACGACGCTCAAAATCGTCAAACGACGTTGTCTGAGGCCAAGCGTGTTGTCAACCGCTGCTCCGGCTGTCGACGGAGGGTCGGACTAACCGGATTCCGGTGCCGTTGCGGCGATCTCTTCTGCGCCGAGCACCGGTACTCCGATCGCCACGACTGCTCGTACGACTACAAAACCGCCGGACGAGAAGCCATCGCGAAGGAAAATCCGGTTGTCAAAGCGGCGAAGCTCGTCAAAGTCTGAATCGTCATCAAAAACCCTAAATCGAAGAATCGCGATGAGATCGCTGAGAAAAAAACACGGATCGACATCATCGATCGATTGAAACTGTTCATATCGCGATTAATTATTCGCGTCTCTTACTCGGAGATGCGCATAGAAAGAACTCAGCACGTGTGTTGAAGCTGAGAGATTGTCACCGAAATCATGAACTTCTGTGTTCGATCGAGCTTCGATCTCTCTTTTTTTTTTTTTTTTGCTTTTTTTATAATTTATAATAATTTAGGTTTTATTTTTAAATTTGGTTTGAAAATTTATAAATTATTGTGGTTATGTGAATTCTTTTCGTTTGTTCTGGTTATAATGATTCTTCTCGGAAAGGGTACCCGAGGAGCATAAGATTTCAGGGGCATGGAAAAGTAAATTTGATGAGGTGTGAGGGCATAGTTGTCAATTCATATTGTACTTTTAACTTGGAATTTTCGAGAATAGTATTATGATAGAAAGTTGGCTGGACCCAGTCTGATTTGACGCGTGACGATTATATCGATATATTGAGGCGCGATAAGGTTGTTGGTTAGTGAGCGGCGAGATATCGCGCTTCGATTTGTCTTAACTTTTTGGCGTTTCGAGAACCAATAGGGGAGCGACAAGAGAAACGCAAGTGGAATATTGTTTATTTTTTCTTTTTCTTTTTAAATTTTAGTTTTGCGTGTGATGATTGATAATTGCGTTCTGCCCTTTTATTTTGTTGGAAGAATCTCGAGGAAACGTCATGATCTCCAGCGCCTAGTATTTGGTGGTGGATGACAGTGACATAGTGCATGACTTGGTAAAAAAGTTTGTTTTAAGCTTCTGATTAAATTGTAATATTATGGTTTATAAGAGAGACGTGTGTTTGATATTCTGCTTGAAAAAAAAAATTAGGAGATGTATTGAATTGAAATTTTAATAATTTTAATGTACTATTTTTAGATAAAAAATTATTTATATTCAATTAAGATTTTAAAAAATTGAAAAAAAAGTCACGCTATATTCGATTAGGATTTTAAAATATTATTTTAGAGTTCGTCCAAATTTGATGATATTCAATCAGTATTTTAGATAAAGGAAATATAATTTTGTGGTATTTAAAAATTTGATGATTGTAGTGGATTTTCTACTGATGCATATAATGTTTTTCCTCACAATTTCACTTTAACCCTTAAGATTTCTTGAGATTTCTTTATTGTAGTATCTTCTTCTTCTTTTGGCTGGTCGACCCGCTTGAAATCGGGTTCAGCTAAAAAGTAGGGTTACGTTGAGCAAAGCTTCAGTTTCAACCGTACCTTTTTTCCAAATGCAAAGTACAAAGTTGCCTAAATCTATTTGTCAGGAGGTGGAGAAAATACAACGTCAATTTATTTGGAATGGTTCTGATCAAAAAAGAGGAAACAATATGATCGGGTGGAACAATTTAATCCAATCAAACCAAAGTGGTGGCCTTGGTATAAAATGTCTTGATGTTATGTACGAAGCGTTTCTGGGTAAGCTTGCCTGGCAAATTAAAACAGATAATGATGCGCTTTGGGTGAGGGTTTTAAAAGCAAAGTATAATGGGAGAAGAAATCAGATGGACCTTTTTTACAGTAAATCCGGGGATTCTCTTCTTTGGAGGAGCATTTGCAAAGTGTGGTTGGAGTTAAAAGACTTTGTAGTGTGGGAGATTGGTGATGGAGCTTCGGTCAAATTCTGGACAGATTCTTGGATCCCCACTGTGGGTCCTCTAGTAAATGTCTGTATGAAAGAGCTTAGCGGAAATGATTTAAGCAAAAAAGCTAATGAAGTTCTTGATATGAATGGCTGTTGGGATTTAAGTATTCTTCAAGCATGCCTGCCACGTGACATCTTAGAGATTGTTAAGGGATTTCTTCCTCCTGCTGAAAATGATGGACCAGATGTAGAAAGATGGAGTATTGGAGGTCATGGTTCCATAACAGTTAAGGACGTCTACCAGGTTCTTATGCAGAAAAGAATTCCATTTGCAAATCACAGTATACCAGATCAAGTGTGGAATGCTCTTTGGCGTTGGAAGGGTACAGAAAGAGTGAAGATTTTTATGTGGAAATGTCTTCACCGTAGATTACCAACAAGTGCATGGGCTGCTAAGTGGTCAGAAACGAATCCAATTTGTTCTAGATGTCTCAGTGCTTATGAGACGGAATTTCATGTGTTAAGAGACTGTGAAGTGGCAAAAGCAGTTTGGTATAAGCTGCTATCACCGAGGAGACTAGCTTCTTTCTTTGATAAGAAATGGGTAGACTGGATGTTATCTAACATATGTAACGGTATGAAGGGACCCATTAGCTTGAATTGGGATACAATTTTTCTTCTAACTTGCTGGGAGTTGTGGAACGTAAGAAATGCTGTTTATCATGGGAAAGAAGTTATTAGTGCAGATCTCATTGTTAATAAGGTGCATCGCATGGCTATGGATATTGAACATGCTTTCGGTGTTAACGGAAGTAAAAAGAAAACTGGCATGCTAGTTCAGTTACAAATTGCTTGGGATCCACCAGATCATGGTTGGATAAAATTAAATACAGATGGTGCAGCCAAAGGATCTCCGGGAGTAGCTGCATGTGGGGGTTTATGTAGAGGATCAGATAGTCAATGGCTGGGGGGTTTTGCTTACCATGTGGCCATTGCATCAGCTTTTACAGCTGAGTTATGGGGTATTCTGAAAGGCTTGGAATTTGCTTGGAACAAAGGGTTTAGAAAACTTATAATTGAAAGTGACTCCACTTCGGTGATCACGTTGCTTACCAATAAAGGTAATGATGTCCGAGAGTCTCATATTGTTACTCGCATTTCGGACTTGGTTGATTAAAGATTGGGATCTCCAACTTAAACACATCCACCGTGAAGGAAATCAGTGTGCTGATTGGCTTGCCAACCATTTGATTTGTTTCAACCAGAACTCTTTGTATAAGGAGTTTAGTCATGTTCCTCCTGGGCTTAGTTGTTTATTTTTTGCTGATATTTGTGTTGTTTCTAGCTGTAGGAATGTTTACATTGTTTAGTTGTTTTTTGGGCTGTTAAGCCCTTTTTTAATATGTGATTTTTATATTAAAAATAACATAAAACAGTGGAAAAACAATATTGGAACAAAAATCTCCAAACCAATTTCTTTTTTACATTAAAGAAACAAGATCAATTTAAAGAAATATTGAAACTTTCATAATATAAACCCTATATTTCGTAACAATACGTTCATGAACGAAATTCCTTCGCTATAGTTTCATACAATTCTTGTGTCAATAGATCACTAAAAACTTGTTTTTCAAAATCAGTTGAAAATAATTCAAGAAATTTTCTAAACTTTCATGTAATAAAATTTAGAAATTCATATTCAATTTTTTTTATAATACTCAATGAAAATATGTATATAATATATGGTTAAAGAACTCTCATCACGTAGAACAAAAATCCCAAGTTTCCAAGATCAATTGTAAAAAAATTCCAAACGAAATTTGAATCATGAACTTTAGGTTCGATATGCAAATTTTGAATTATTTTAATAAAAAAATTTGTGGGTCTTATAATCATATATGTATAGCTCTGATACCAAATCAAGAAGATAATTTTCAACTCATTGGTCAAACTTAAGAGCGAGAATGAGAACATGTTAATGCGTGAATGACTGGTATAGATATGTGGAAAGCTACTGTTTAGTAGCACGTTAAGTTAAATCTAAAAATTGATTGAGAAAATTATTATTATTATTATTTTGGTAGTTAAAGAACACAACAAACAAGCTAAAATTAAGGGACATTAAAACTAAAGCTTGAAACTCTAGCTAAATCATCTTCGTAAATTTCCAGCAATCCTGGAGAGCTAAATCATCTTTGTAAATTTCCAGCAATCTTGGAGGGACAAGTCTATATACTTAGGGATGTGCATGGGTCGAACCGAACCGGTTTTTTTGAAAAACCGAACCGAATTGTTTTAAATGGTTCGGTTCGGAAGTGGTTCGGTTCAGTTCAAAACTAGTTCGGTTCGGAAGTGGTTCGGTTCGGTGAGAAACAGTTCGGTTCGAAACCGGTTCGGGTCGACCCTCTTTTGAAAAGAAAAAAAAAATTAAAAAAATTAAAAAATAAAGTTATAAAAATCAATTTGGTTCGGTTTGAAAACGGTTCGGTTCGGTTCAAAATGGTTCGGTTCTTAAATTGGTTCTAAAAATCAGTTCGGTTCATGAACTGATTTTTAAAAACCGATTATTTTAAGGGGCGATTCGGTTCATGGTTCGGTTCAGTTTTTTGGTTATTTTGCACACCCCTATATATACTTGTTCCTTAATCTCCGATCTTCTTCCTGTTCCAGCAAGCCAGTGAATGCACCTGTTGCACTCGCGGGAGACAAATCAAAAATTGACTTCCTAATCTTTGCGAAGCCGAGCTAGAATCTTAACCATCAATCGTGGTTTTCTAGCAATCCTACCTTTAGAGGTGAGCATGGAGATTAGCTCCATTGAATCCCCTTCCAGACAAAAGACGGAGACCCATTGACCAAGCAAGCTAAAGACTATAAAGAGCTCACCACATCTCTGCGTCAAGGGAGTTATATATTCCCATATAGTAAGCTCCTCCCCGAAGCCAAATGCCTTCTGCATTTCGGATCAATACACCACACCCAGTTTTATGAGAAAATTATATTAGGTTTTATTTTTTATTAATATCGTTGTATTTATTTATTAATTTTTTATTGACTCTTGTAATTTTGAATCTTTATTAAAAATTCACTTGATTTTATAAAATCTTATAAAATTTTGATTGTAAAAAAAGTCCTTGGAAAAATCTTTAAAGTTATTACAATTCTACATATTCTTTTAAAATCTATAAAAAAAATTATCTTAAAATAATCTATTAAAATCTTTTAAAATTTAATCTTATAAAATCTTGATTATAAAAGAATCTTTAAAGTCATTATAATTTTAGATACTCTTTTAAAATCTATAAAAAAAATTATCTCAAAATAATCTTTTAAAATTTGAATCCAATTCAGTTTGTTTAGAATTCTCTTGCAATGATTGCCGAAATTATGATTTTAAACAGGAAATCAAACACGCCCATTGTTTTTTTTCTCTTTAATAAACAAATACGCCCGTTGTTAATAACGAATGACTATTGTATATAATAAATTAATAATGATATTGGGATAATTAATATTTATTTATGAAATATATTAAATAATATATTATGAGTAAACACCCTTTTTGGTCCCTAGCAATATCTACGAAATCTTTTTTTAGTCCCTGGCAATAAAAAAAGACCAAATTGGTCCATAAAATTATGAAAAAATGGCCACGTTAGTCCTTATGTCAACTCCTCCGTCACTAACGTGACCCTTTTTCATACTGTTAGGGACCGATTTTGTCCCTTTTTATTGCCTGGAACTAAAATTTTTTTGTAGATATTGTCAGCGACTAAAAAAAGTGTTTACTCTATATTTATTTGACAAGGATGTCAAATAGTGTGAATCGTGGATTAAACTTTTTGAATTAAAATATCAAAAGTAGGATGATTTATGAATTTAAAGAAAAGTAGAGGGACCATAACTCGAGGTAAGGTATTTAAAAATACAAGAAAATTTCTCCATCGATTTATTGCGGGCACGTGAATTTTCTT